GTCTCCAACACACCCACTCCCATTAACCCAGTCACTGAATCAATCCATCTCATAGAGGGTCTTCCCCTCCTGCGCTGTCCCTCCACCCTCCAAAGCCTGACATCCCTCTCCAAGGATTGGTCCCTCCCTGCAACATGTCCAAAGAAGGTCAGACATAGTTTCAGAATCCTTGCCTATAAGGAGCAGCCTGATTTAACCCTCTCTAGGATGAACGTGTTTGTTCTCCTAGCAGTCCATCGTATATTCAACACTCTTCTCCAGCACAATAGCTCAAAGACATCAGTTCTCTTTCCATCATCCTTAGTCATTGTCCAGCTCTCTGACACATAGCAAGTGATTGCAAAGACCATGGACTGTATCAGGCACACCTTAGTCTTCAGAGTGACATCATTGCTCTTAAGTATTTTGGAGAGGTCTCGAACAGCAGACTTTCCCATAGAATGGGATAAAATTTGAGCTGCAGATGCAATATCTTGCTCTTCCATATTTTACTTTTGCTTTTAGAGAGAATTTAACCACCAAGTTGTTGATAGAATGGTAAAATTAGTCTCAGGCCACCAGAGCTCCCTCAGAGTATTAGAAATAGTATTTCATATTTTCATTTTTGATGCACTTTGTGATGCTTAATAGATCATCCATAAATATTTGTGGAATAAATAAATCAGTAAATCCTAGCAATAGATTTGTTGAAGGAAAAGATGTTTTAATTTCTCCTTCGCTATTCAAATAAACTTTAATTTCATTTGCCTCCAGATAAATACCTCGAAATCTTTAGCACAAAATATAGAATGATTTAGACTTGAGTTTAGATGAAGTCCAGGCTAAATGAATGAATACTGAGCCCTGGTATAGGTCTAGTGTCTTTTTTTTAGATTTTGAGCCCTCATGTCTTTCAGGAATAAAAGAAAAAATTTAAATTTATGTGTAAATTGAAAGAAGGAGCTCTGGTGGCTTAGTGGTAGGGAGTTTCACTGTCACCCAAAGGTGCTTGGATTCAATCTGCCAGTTGCTCCACTCGAGAAAGATGAATAGTCTCTTCTCATGAGATTTACTCCTGAAAATCCACTGGAGGGTCGGCAATGAGTTGGTTCTGACTTGATGATATGCGACAAATATACCTAAATTATAGGATAATTTAATGGGGGTGTATTGATCTGCAGATAAAATTGTGTTTCACCCATGGGCAGAATTTAGATATTGAAATGTTTTTTTTGAAAAGTATTCAATTTGCCTTTATAACTATATGTCATTGCTCTTGGGTTGGTACTGACTGACAACGGACCAACCAGTGGGTTTCTGAGGCAGTAAGATCTGAGGAAATTGATTGCACATATTTCTGTGTAACCGCTGGTGGATTCCAGCCACCAAGGAGGCATGGCCTTTGGGTTGGTAGCAAGCACAGCACTCAACTCACCATTACTTTACACTTGTGCATTAATCGCTACTTCAGATAACAAAGGTGAAGGTTACCCTTGTTGGTAGAAGTACAGTGTGCAAGTTCTTTGCTTGCCTTTGTTGTTGTTATGTGCCATCAAATTGCCTGTGACTTACAGAAGTAAAGTTTAACACACAGGTTTAAAGTAATGGAAGAAAATATAAAATCATATTGTCAAGTGTCAGAAATTGGTTGGAACAATTTTGCTTGCTATTGAAGAGTTACATGACACTTTTCCCCCTTCCCATAACAATACATTTTATTAGTTAGATAGAAGGAATAAGGAAGAAGAGATCATTTCAGCGTGGAAAAGACTGGCAATTAACATTTCTTTTTTGTTGTTGTTGTTTTTAACCATTCATCTTTTAACACCTTATTTATTACGTAGTAAATTTTCATCTGTCAAATGTTATATCAGTTGCCATTGTCCACTTACCTTTTTGAAATATTTTTCTAAAATTTTTAGAGAAAAATCAAGATACAAGAATCTTATTCTCTGTATAATAATAGTTTTTTTTTCCCCCTCTAAAAATTCAGGGGAAAACACATTTCCTCTGTGCTACAGCCTTCAAGTCAAATCTGACAGGTGGTGCCCCTTCCTCAGGCTTGCTGTCTGTATAAGAGATGGCCCATTTTTCCTCTTTAAAGCAGCTCATGGATTTCTGTAGACATTCTGGTTAGCAGCACACATTATACTTCCACCAGGGCTCTGTGTTTCCTCTTTTTGTGTGAATAATTTTTTTTTTTTTTAAATTTTTGTGTGCGTGTACCGTCAAATCAGATCTGACTGGTACAGGAGGAGATTGTCCCTCCTTCCCCGGCAGAGCATCTGGTGGATTCGAACTGTGCGCCTCTGGGATTGTAGTTGCAGCTCCTTGCCACTAGGCCACCAGAGCTCCCCCTTGTGTGAATAATTTTTTAAAAAATCTCCTGATAAGTTAATGCCTGGTCATACCAAGGCCTGGAATTCCTGTCTGAGACGTGCAGGATAGTTTTACATATTTTTTTTTCTCCCCAGGAGTTAATTAATTTTGATTTATCTATTGTATTGAAAGGCTACTACTCATAAAAACAGGTTATCAAGGTAGTTTAAACAATATAAGTTTGTTTAGAAAATTGATATCCAGTCAATATAAACTGTTTAAATCAGGAAAAAAGCCCTGAAGAAAACAAAAGCAACAAAACACAAACACATATCTCTCCATATATGATTGTTCATGAATAACCACGCGTTTTCTTATTGCTCACATTGAGAATTAAGTGAAGAAGAACTTGTCCTCCTTGAATATGTACATCTGCACATCTTTGATTAATGTTTATATGTCCAAAGTTTCAAGTTTTCAACATTGTATTCTTAGCACGGACTGATAATGTGGTTGCTTACATTAATTTATTGATCCCATTGTACTGTAAGGTGATAGGTGGTGGACACTCTACTGTGAATGTACATTTTTCTTGCTAATTTTATGTTTAATAAATGCTCTGCTTGCCTTTCCTTTCAAATATCTTTATTAGTAAATGCCAGTGTATCGGTGTGTTTTTAGCAGTGATGGTTTGCTCAGTAATAGTTTTCCCCCCCCTCCTTCATAGCTGGGGCAACGTGCTCAAGTCACCAGATCGCATGTCCCAGTGGTCAGTGTATCCCACGTGAGTACAGATGCGACCACGTCAGAGACTGCTCCGACGGATCCGACGAGAGAGAGTGCCGTGAGTTCATTTCAGCCTCTGCACTGTATTTTATTTCGCCCTGTCCTTCTGGTATTTTAATCAATTCATTTAGATTTGTTGATGGACAGAAATCCCTACAATATACCTCTTGTTATTGAAATCCCGTGGCAGATTCTTTTGTGGATTAGGAATGATGTTCTGATATGAGTTTATTTTTAGTGAGACAGCTGTGTCCTACCTTGGTAAATCAAGTGTCTCTATTTTCTGATGTGAGAAACTTAGAATGTTCTTATGGAATCTCAAAAGATCAGGGAGGACATTGAGTACAAATTCAGGTGTGGTTAATATTAATGTAATTATGTTATGTTATTGTGTTAGTTTCTAGGTCCAGTTTCCCCCTAGCTTTTCTAAGAAAATCAATCTTTTCTAGGTTACTTCTGGTATAGCCTCTAGTTTCAACACCTGCTTTGAGTAGATTGCTTTGTCTTCAATTGGGGCGCCTTTCTTCACTTCAGGTGTAGAGAATGTAGATTTAGCCCTGGCTGTTTTAGACGTGGTTGTATGTGTCTTCATGTCTGAAGGACACAAATTAACTGTGTGGACCAGGGAAAATGGTTTACCCATCAGTCCTTGGGTGAGAAATAGACAGCAAGTAGTAGATCCTTTACTAAATGAAATAAATACATTTTTTATTAATACTATGTTGTGTGCTGGCAACCCATTGTTGCCTCTCCAGCAGGTTGTCAGAGGCAGTAAATCCCATGGGAGATGATTGCCTGTCCTTATCCCATGGAGCAAGTGGTGAATTTGAACCATGTTCCTTGGGGATTGCAGCATTACACTAGGCCACCAGAGCTCCTTTTTATTTATTTATTTGGTTTTTAAGACAAAGATTTTTTTTATTAATAATAGTAGTAAATGTTGTTTTGTTACCATTTTGTAAACTGTGAAGGCTTATTAATTCTAGGATTTGGTTTTCCAAGAAATTGGGGAACTCTGATGGCATAGTAGGTAAGGCTAAGATTCGAATCTACCAGTTGCACCTGAGGAGAAAGATGGATAGTCTCCTTTGTGATTTTCAGCTTCTAAAAATCCACTGGAAGATCAGCTATGAGTTGGTTCCAACTTGATGGTAATGAGTTTGAGTTAGTTATGAAGACAACAGGGCAGCCATTATTACTTAGATTCCTTTTCAAGTGTAAATGAATGAAAAATCTGAACTTGAATAGTTAGAAGGATTTGTGAAAAATTGCTGTGAGTGGCTGAGATAGAGTTCAATCCAAGTCTTCTTGTTTGTAATCTGGTGACTGCTTCGTGAAGGACTGCCTTAGAGAAGGAGAAAGTCCTTACCTTATGCAGTTTTCACAGAGAACCAGAGGCCTGTCCACCGGTCAATAGTCTGTGTCTTTTTCCCTTACTTACAAGTGGTAAAAGTGAGTGCTTTATTGCAAATATAATAGCACTGAAGGAGCTGCTGCTTTGAGGAAAATAAAAGGCAGCCGAAACAGACGATTTGGACTTTTTCCATGTGAAAAAGATTTGCAGCCAAATCTGAAGTCACTAGTACTGTAGCCCACAGCTTTGCCAGTTGACATTCCAGAAAAAAACAAAACCAACAACCCAACAAAACAAATACCTGGCAGGATACAAATAAGCAGCTGTTACAAAAAGGAATGAAGGAGAGGAAGTGAGCTTTATAAATATCTGGGCAGAAATTTTTAATCAAGTTTTTTTTTTCTCCTAGAGTACAATTAATTGGTGAAATGAGGATTTGTTAAGGAAAGAGACTTGAGATTTATACATTGTTTCTAGAATCATAAGGGTCATGAACCCATCAAGGCACATGGCAGCCCCACTGAGGGAGTTTTACAATGATGGATTCTTATTTTTTCCCCCTACTGTGTACCTACTTATTGCTGTATTTTACTCAACGAGAAGCATAAGATTCTAACATAGACCATGAAAAAAAACCTCTTCGTACCTCCTCGGTAGTGCTTTGATCCCTTGCTCATAGCTGGATGAGTTCAAGAAGGAAATGAATGGTCGAGATCAAAGTCCTTGAAAAGTGCCAGTAATAAGGGGTGCCAGAGTTTGTCTCATTTCATTTTTGTTCCTTATTTGAAGTTGTTGTGGGAAGTGAAAGAGAGAATCATTCTTTGCCGAGCACCAAACATTGTTTTATAGAGTTTTCACCCCAGTGCACAACATAGGTGATGTGACCACCACCCCTTTAACAGAAATTCTAGAGATTATAAAGAAGCAAAGGTGGATGAACCAGGGTATTCAGTTAAGACTAAACCGTATGCTCATGCTCTTGAAATCCTTTTCTTTAGTACTGTTGTTATGCACTGCCATGTTGTTGATGTTATATGCCATCGAGTCGCCTGCGACCCATAGCGGTCCTATGTACAACAGCCCTAAACCCTGCTCTATCCCTTGCCAATCTTATTCTCTCTGATACACCTATCCCCATTACCCCAGTGATGGAATCAGTCCATCTCAATGAGAGTCTTCCTCTCCTGTGATGTCCCTCCACCCGCCCAAACATGATGTCCCTCTCCAAGGACTGATCCCACTTTGCAACATGTCCAAAGTATGTCAGGAGCTTCAGAATTCTTTCCTCCAAGAAGCAACCTGGCTTCACCCTCTCCAGGAAGAACTTGTTTGTTCTCTTAGCAGTCCATGATATATTTAATAGTAGTCTTCTCCAGCACCAAAGCTCAAAGGCATTAACTCTCCTGCTGTCATCCCCTAGTCATTTTCCAGTGCTTGAAGCATAGCAAGTAATTTCAAAGACCATGGCCTGGATCAGGTGCACCTTAGTCTCCAGGCTGACATCATTGCTCCTCAGTACCTTGGATAGGTCTCTGACAACGGACTTTCCCAATGCAATTCGTCTTTTAATTTCCTGGCTACTGGTACCAAGAGTGTTGATTGTAGAGCCAAGCAAACTGAAGCTGTCAATAATCTCAATCTTTTCACCATCTATTATGATGCTGCCAATGGGCCTAGTGGTGAGAATCTTTGTCTTCTTGACATTGAGCCTCAATCCATATTGAAGGCTGCAGTCCTTGACCCTCTGTAGCAAGCACTTCAGGTCCTCCTCGGTTGCAGCAAGCAGGGTTTTATCATCTGCATAACACAGATTGTTGATTAGTCTACCTCCAATCCTGATGCCACATTTCTTTTCTTAGAGCCCAGCCTGCTGGATAATCTGTTCCACATATAGGTTGAAAGGATACGAGATAGGACACATCCTTGACGCACACCCTTACCAATTTTGAACCATACAGTGTTTTCTTGCTCTGTTTTGATGACTGCCTCCTGGTCCAAGTATAAGTTTTGTATAAGCACAATCCCAATATTCTTAGTCACCCACAGTATGTTGTGATCTACACAGTCAAATGCCTTTGTATAGTCAATGAAACACAGATAGACATACCTCTGGTATTTTCTGTTTTCAGCCAAGATTCATTTGACAGCAGCTATAATATCCCTAGTGCCATGACTGCTTCTAAATCCAACCCTGCATTTCAGGCAGTTCTCTGTTGATGTGCTGTTCCAGTCATTTTTGGATAATCTTCCGTAGAATCTTGCTTGCAATGATACTGTTTGATAATTTCCACACTCTGTTGGATCACCTTTCTTTGGAATGGGAACAAATATAGATCTCTTCTAGGTAGTAGGCCAGGTTGTTGTCCTACAGATTTCTTGGCACAACTTGGTGAACACATCCAGGGTAGCATCTGTTTGTTGAAATATGTCAATTGGTATGCCATCAATTCCTAGGGCCTTGATTTTTGCCAATTCTTTCAGAAAAGCTTGAACTTTCTCCTTGATCACCACAGGCTCTTGCTCATACGTTGTTTCATGAAATTCTTGTGTGTCCACCAATTCCTTTTGGTACAGTGAATCTGTATACTCTTTCCACCTTCTTTTTTTAAAAAATTTTTTTTTATTAATTTCAATGAAAATTTACGGTGACTTTGGATTTCTATTCATTCATTGTTGCACTCTTCACCCCACCCAACCCCTCCTCCCCTCTTGGAAAAATAAAAGAAAAATTCTTTCACTGTTTTACAATTTCTCCCTGCAGGTCCACTCCACTATGCAGCCTTCGCTCTGGACTCCTGTCATGATAAAAAAATACCTAATCACATATCCCTTTTGAATAGTTTTCTGCCTCATCTGTTTCAATACATTATTGAACCCATCTTTCTCAGTCTCCCTCCAACCCTGATGTCAGTCCTGTATTACAACATTGACACCATGCAGTATTTGTATTTTTGTGACTGAGATATTTCACTCAGCATAATGTCCTCCACGGTCACCCATTTTGAGTAATACTGCATGAGTTCCCTGTTTTTCAAAGCAGTGTAGTATTCCATTTTGTGGATATACCGCAACTTCTATATCCATTTGTTTGTTGATGGTCCATCTTCTTTTAATGCTTGCTAGATCATTCAATATTTTGCCCCAAAGCATCCTTAAGTATTGCAACTCAAGGTTTGAATTTGTTCTTCAGTTCCTTTAGCTTAAGAAATGCTGAGCAAGTTTGGCCCTTTTGATTTTCTGATTCCAGCTCCTTGCACCTTTCATTGTAATATGCATAGGAATCTTTGTCTGTGAGCAAACCTAGAATCAACCTATGAATATGATTTTTAATCTATTTCTCAGAAATAAAGGAAAATGTTTAAGTTCTAATAAACAGAAAGTTAATAGAACTTCAGGGACAAAAGCAGCTCCAGTAATAGGCAATTGTTTATAGGATCTCTATGGGAATTGTTTATAGGGTCTCTCTGAGTCATGGTTTTATCAATGGCGCCTAACACCGTTGGAATTGACTTAAAGTAAGGAAAGGTAAATCAAAACCACCCAAATATAGTAATGAATGTTGGAAAAGTTCCAAAGAAAGACTTATTCCTTGCCCCCTCCCCCAAGTATTTGGAAGGATCAGGAGGCTGACCCCGTAGTTCATCATCCTGTCCATCAAAGCAGACCTCTATGCTATAGTCCTTACCCTTTCAAGCTTCTAAGAT